ATGATGTATTAATGTGAGAAATAAAAAATATTAATGATAATTTTTGTAACCGAAAATGGAGGGAAAATGTTAGAGGTTTTATTAAATAGGTAAAATTAAATGCTATATGCTTGCAATTATATATATATAGATATAGATTTTGTTATCACTATAGAGAAGACAGAATGTGTTATCTAGTGCAATTTTTATTACAAGTTATATCTGAATTTTTTTGTAGGGGTGCACAATGTTCGGTTAATCGAACCGAAGCGACTGAAATGGAAATTCGGTTTGGACGGAAATCGAATATTTGGTTTGGTTTTCGGTTTACATTTTTTTAAATTTCGATTTTCTGTTTCGTTTGGGTAATTATGATCGGTTAACCGAACCGAACCAAAAACTGATTTATTCACATATATATACATGTTTTAAATTTATACATATAATTTATATAAGCATTAATTTGTTCCAATGATTGATGATTTTCAACCTTCTATAAAGGACTCAAACATTGATTTGCACTCAATATTGGCTTCATCATAGTCCAAGTCACGGTTCGCGTCCGAGATCCTCCTTTGAGGAAAATTTAGAATTTATTGAGAAGATTAAACAAGATGATAAAAATCAAATTATTTAGTTCAGATAAAACATCATATTTTTTATTCGGTTAAAAATTCAAAATTTATTGAGAAGATTAATTATTTATTGCGATTAATCGAAAACCAAACCGAACCAACCGTTGGATTTCGGTTAAAAACCGAACCGTAAATTTCGGTTTGATTTTCGGTTATGATAATGGACAAACCGAATTTTCGGTTTTTCGGTCGGTTAGGTTCGGTTTCAGCCGAATGAGCAACCCTAATTTTTGTTTATAAGAGTAGATATGATGCTCCAGTGGTAAGAATACAATTATTTTGGAGAGATAATAGACATTCACAATATATGCATATTAATTTTGTGTGGTTCATAACACTTCCTCTCGAATGACTATTTCCTATACTTATCGGAACAAAATTCAATACGAACATCTTAAAGTGTAACTTGTAGCCATTATTGGTTAGTGGATGAATATTCATCATTTGGGTTCCGTCTGGTTCGAGATCGTTACAGAAATTAAGGATCAACCATTTTTGTTACTCCTTCTATTTTTCTATGAAAGATCTCCACATTTGCCTCTTATTGATGAAATGGTGAGGTACTTAATTCATTATTCATTACATAATTTTTTGGCATCAACAAATTAAATCTTTGGCCTGATTATGGTGTTTTGAGAAATTAATTTTTTCTTTTGTGAACTTGTGAAAGAAACAAATGAGAGAATAAAAAATGAATTAAAAAAAAATGAGAAGAAATGAGCCAAGATGGAGAGAGAGATGTTTTAGAGATTGTGCAAGAAAAATAGAAACATAGAGCAAAAACCTCTCAAGCAAGAAGATAGCTTCACATCTACAAAGGCGCACATCTACTCTTATGCATAGGGTCAGTTTTACTATGGAGCAATCGGATGGCTCGGCTTATGGAGCAATCCACACTTATTCACCAATAGTGTATTGACACGTGTCTTACAATAAATACAATTTGGACATGTATCAATATATTAAGCAATAGATGGTTCCGTAAGAAAACAATCCGATTGCTCCATAAAATTTTTGTGCATAGGGTCATGTCATCTAAAACAATCAAGTGTATGATAATTTATTTAATTGGAAGTATGTTATCCATTTTGAATGTGAAAACATAGCGAAAATGTTGTTGTAAGTCATTGTTTCTCAATGATGAGATGATATTATAGACTTTTAACACACTTGGATAGATATCTCATAAAATAATTATCCGTACAAAATAGGTTGGGAGCTCGTAAGTGAAAAAAACTGAGATAATTGACGGTCCCTTGTGGTCAAACTAATTGCTCAAGCAAAACAAATAATCAGTAAACCAATTAAAAAGTGTGACGGATTTTATGACAAACTGGTCATCACAGATTTTTTTTTTTACCAATTATATTTGATTTTGAAAACTAAAAGTAATGTTTTAACAGTCATGCGTGAGTTCAATTATTTTCCGTATAATTTGTTTATTTATCATTGTTTTTAGGTGTTTGGGAGCATAAGTTCTTTTTTTGATAGTATTTTGATGCAATTTTAGATCTGTTTGGATAAGATTTGGGAAGTATGATCTTCAAACATAAATTATGGGTCGATTGTACATCGCACAACTAGAATATCTCTAGTTTATTTATAAAACCTAAGAACAGGTAGAACAAACGAGTCCGTAGTACGTATATAAGGAAAAATTTGCCACCGCAATTCCAGCCAATAAAAACAATTCTCCCATCTTCCTCAAATCTCGACATTTTTACAATAATAATTTGGTTAGCTAAAATAAAACAATAGCAATTTCCGTATTTATGGTGAATATTCAATCCGACGGCGCAACTTTCATTAACTGTCGAATGTTAATGGGCCAAATGTCTGAAGGCTCTCCATCTATTAGACGCCTTGTTATTATAGAATTAGTTTTGTCCGTTGGATGATAAGCATCCCAAAATACGTATTTGGACCTGTCCGTACAAACTTTTGATGTAGGCCCACATGGAATCAGCCCACCATACCTTCCCGCCACATGACAGCAGGCCGAGTTTGGGTTCTCAAATCCTGCAAGCCCAAAAGAAACATTAAAACATAGAAAAATACTAAATTCATGTTTTCTTTTTATATTTTTTTTAATGAATAAAGAGAATTATGCATCAATAATCAAATTGCTTATGAAAATATTTTGGAATGACATGGACTAGATAGTTGTAATCAGATGTTCTAGAAGTCGCTAGGCACTCGACCAACTCCTAACGCCTAGAACGCCTAGACGGGGCCTAGAAATTAAGATTAAATACTTTTTTTTTTATTTATTTTCACTATTTACAAAATAAAACTATCTCAACATATAATAAATCAACACGCCTCAGTCCAAATAATAATATTAGTATATAATTAAAAAAAATATGATAACAAAATAATATAATTAGTTTTTAAAAAAAATTAAAAAATAAATTGAAAATTTCCGGCAAGCCCGTCTATACGCCGCCTAGCCGTCCGACCAATTTTTCAGCTGATTTATGCAAATTAGAGGCGGCCTAGGCCGACTTTGAGAACAAAAGTTGTAATCCATTTTTCTTAAATACAACCATTTCTAATAAATATATATATATATATTTATATATATATATATATATATATTCTTGTTTTATGAAAAATATACTTTACCATATGATGAATAATTTTGAATGATATCATCAACAATGTGGTACACATCAGCATATACAAAAGTCGAGTGTTGAAGATTTGCAGAAAGGTCCCTCAAAAGTACCCTTAATTGGGCGTTGAATAGCTGGGCGAGTTGGTTGGGAAAAACAGCACACCCATCCCCTGCACTTGGATTTATTTCCCTCTGAAATGGTATGCACCCAATGGGCCCCACATTAGCCACCACTATCTTCCTTGCTCCCATGCTGTATAGCCTCTGACAAGCCAAAAAAAAAAAAAAATAGAAACTAATTCATTTCGTTTTGCCGATATTAACGAGTCGGGTTATAAAAAATTACGTAACAAATTCATATTTTATGAGTCTTACCGAGCTCGTTAATTAACTAAACAATGTTCAATCGAGTCGAGCCAAGTTCACGAACGACTCGGATCAGTAAATTTTGGTATGGGAATTAAAATGTTGTAGTTAGAGTAAAATATTGTTGGGGCAAATTTTGCAATTTACCATGAGTTGAAGTCTGTATTTTGAAATCATGGCCCCAACAAAAGATTGTGGAGGCATTATCTGCTGCTCAACTTTGGAAGGAACAAATGGTGTGAGATAATTGTTGATGAAATCATTTGACCCAATTGTGACTGAAAACAATGCATCTTTGAACAGCTTTTGGGCTTCACCAAAACCAATCCTTGAGATTATTTCTTGCCTTGTGTTTGCAAAGTTGTCCAGCTGTGCATCCAGATTTATTCTCCCACCCTGTGTAATTCATAATATAAATTATATAAATATAGGAAAATGCTATCGTCCCGTTACGGAATCATCCCCGACGGGTGTTTTAACCGTTGGATCATCTATCTTATACTAACTATATGTGTATCCAAAGGTTATAACTCCCGAACGGATTGTAACGGAACCGTAACATTTCCCATTTATATATATAAAAATGATCCCATCTCAATCAAATATGTTTCTCTTTTGCAAATTGCACCTTCATGAGCAAAGTTTTTTGAATTTTTTTTTATAAGTTATATTTGTAATTTTGAGAGATTGCTCATTTTTTTCAAGAAAAAAAAAGGGGTACATTTTGTAATTAACAAAATAAAATGTATTAAAATGCAAACAGAAAACAATGATGTACCTATATAATAAATATATATAAGATGAGATAAGAATAAAAAAACTTACAAAAATCTTGCCAGTATAATTTAAGATCCCACCTCCACCAGAAGCATAATTCACACCTTGCAAAATTGTTAGTCCAGCTGTGGTAGGTGCCAAATATGGAGGTGTGTAGCCATTAAAGCCTAATTCCTGTCCTGCTTTTGCAAATTTTCAAAAAATTATATATACATATTTTTATCAATAGAAATTGACCCCCCAAAAAAAATTAAGAAATTAAAGGGGTAAAATTACAATTAAGAATAAGGCTAAATTGTAAAATATAACCAGTATCTTGTAAGTGGCGGTAATGATAGCAACCATCTTTATCAATTAGCAATAGTCGCCAACAAGACAATACAACCTTTAAAATTTCGAGATTATAACCCAAATCCAACCAAATTCGACAGATAAATTGCAAAATAGTCAGTATCTTTTTACGCGGTGGCAACAATAGCCAAATTCGACAAATAAATTGTAAAATACAGCCAATATCTTTTTACGCGGTGGAAACAATTAGTCGAGAAACTCACCTATCATGTCAATTATGGTTCTTCCATTAGTGAATCTCCCAGTGGGCAACCCAAAGTCAATCCCATTTGGCACAAAATCTGCTTTTGAAAGAGACAAAATGTAGTTGTTGTTGCCTGCATCAACCAAAGAATCTCCAAAAACAAAGTTTGCTGGTGTGTGTTTGGCCAAACAGGGCCTTGTTCCAAATATAGTAACTACAGCCAAAACAAATAATGCCTTGTAATAGAAGTTTCCCATTATAGAAACTTGAAATGATACTTTTTTTTTTTTTAATTATTATGTATCTATTTCAAGAAAAAAAATAAATGTTTATTTGAAAAAATGAAGGCAAACAAAAATATGCATGGTTATGAGCTATTTATAGAATACAAAATGTAGTAGTGTGCATGAGCTAACTGGCAAAGGGTTTTTAGAAATTTCATTTAATGTGTAGCAGAATTAATCAGCTCCAATATGTGAGAGTTACAAAAATTGGGACCAATTGGGTTAAATTTTATGATTGAGATAATAAAAATAATTAATATTATTAAAAAAAAATGTGGGAGACAGTATTCTCATGGTCAAACAATGAGAAGGTGATGAATAAATTGTTGAGAGTAGTGACATACGCTGCTGCAAGAAAATGATGAAATTCTAACGGAAATATGTTCCAACAGTATTATTCGAATGGATATTTCGTGCTTAGTGACTTACAAAGCATGTGGATTCAATTTTCAAAGATATATACAAGAAGATTTGACAACTCTCGATTTCTGATGAACTTGCATACTATTTTTAGTTTTTGTATATAGTTTAGCTTCACAAGTTTTGGCCACAGAGCTAGCTATTCCATTATTCTTTCAGAGAGCTCGCGAGGTTTTTTTTATCATTGAGAGCTTTTTATTTAGATTTTATAGGGTGATCGGATTCTAATATGTTGGTACATCGCTAGTAATAATTCGAGTTGTTTGTTTGTTTTAAAAATATATTTATTAATAGGAGTTAAACAATCATACATTTTAAATAAATATGTTACTTTTCAAATATAATGTCATACTTTGAAAAACAATATGTATAAACATATGACATTTTAGCTGTTATAGCATAGTTTGTTAAAATTATATGACCGTCGATCATCATTGAGTTGATTGTAATTGAAATGAAATCAAAATTGAAATAATATTTGTTGACTTGTTGTAAACATATATATATATATATATATTTTTTTCTATTATAATAAAATGCGAATAGTACACGACCCCATCACTGCAATACATTATTAAATTAATGCAATTAATAAAGATGTTTCGGTAGGTGCTTGTTTTACACTGATGCCATACATTTGAAATAAAATCAATATTCTTAAATATGTATTTAATAATTTCGACATAAAAAAAAATCTATATTTATATTTTAACACACATATATTTTACTTAATTCAACAAAGAAGCGCGTATTTAATTACCAGTCCATTTTCATGCAAACTAGCGAGTCTTTGAGGTGATATGGTGCAAATTGGCACGTCAAAAATACCGAAATTTTTATTTATAATTCGACGTGATTTCCAAAGGGACTCACACTCACATCAACTTTGTTTTTTGTAAACTTTTTGCAGTTAGATCATAACGTTTCGATTCTTTATTTTATTTTTCCAGCTACTATTATTATTATTATTATTATTATTATTATTATCATCATCATCATGTAAACGACATGCTATTGAAATAAAAGAGTAGGTCGAAATTTTCTGAGCTTCGTGAATAAAAACAATGGGAAATGCTACTGTCATTATAATAATAATAATGGGAAATGCTACGGTTTCGTGACGGAACCATTCTATCGGAGTTTGTAACCGTTAGATCATTGTGAGAAATTGGGGGAAAATGGTGCGGTCTTACTAAAATGAAGCGCACCAAAAGCGGAGAAAATCCATATGAAACTCAAGTGGGGTTCCATCCCAAAACCAATTGGTGTAAGGAGGAGTAGTCCATTAGACTTATAAGGTGGGTCTATTTTCCATGTATGAACGATGTGGGACAACTCACAAGTGATATTCCAACAATCATCATGTAATCGTTAAAGATAGTTAAACCCCAACGAAATGGTTCCGTAACGAGACCGTAATATCTTCCAGTAATAATAATAATTATAACAAAAATAATTCTAAGAATTGTTTTATTTCTCTTAGGGTTAATGTTCCAGCTGCCAATAGACCAAAAAAAAAAAAAAAAAAAAAAAAA